GTCTCCTAGTCCCTCCTATCTTCCTTTCCTATTGGCCAACAGTGCTTTATTCATTAACCAGTATGAGAAACATACAGAATGACATCTCCCATCATCTCCTCTTTTCTGTCTAAATAAAAAGAAGGGTTTTAACCTTAACATAGCAAAATATATCACATAACAGTTATCAAATAAGAATCATAGTTAACAATATTTAGTTCATTAACATTTATCAAGATTAAAAAACTGTTCTATCATCTATTCTATATTTGTGAGTCTAAAGTCCTATATGTAACTTATCTTTAAGCCTATCTAAGGAAAACTATAACCATAACTATCTGTCTTCAACTCCTTCAAAGACTACAGAAGGATAATATATAAACTCTAGAAATGACAGACAACTCACTGCCTGGCAAGTCACTGGAAGTTCTGTAATCTTCCATCTTCAGCCCACAGGCTGGCAGACTCTTCAGCAAAGCAGGAAACTTTAAACTGTCTTCTTGTATTGGTAGTTTGTCAGTCACTTTTCTCTGTGTCCTGTATACTGTCTCACAGACTCTTCTATGAAGCAGGATCTCTGTAGCAATGTTCATCTTGAATCAGCAGTCACCTTTCTGTAGGTTCTGCATGGCCAGTTTATACAGCATAAAGTCAAACAGTCCAGACAAGAGCAGTATCTTGTCCAAATGGCTAGTCTTGCCATATTGGAAGTAAACTTCATAACGAGTTTGTTTTTTCAATGTTCATCTTTCTTTCTGATGCAGGTGGTGTTGCCAGGAGCATTTATGTCTCACTGTCAAGAAAAACCCTAAACCATTTTATATGCCATATTCTGTAGGTCTTTGAAAGGTTTGAAGAATTCCTATTTATCTCAAATACATGTCTGTGTATCTTGAAAACCTACCGAACTTAACTCTAAGCTTTGACTATCATAGGTAATTATCTATAATCTGTACTACATTATACATTACGTTTTTAAATGAGCTATATAAACACAATACCTAAACAAAAGGAGAAATATACATATCACAAAATTGACCTTAAATTGTATCAATAAATGAAAATCCATTCCAAAACAAAGTATTCATATCTATACCATAAGATAGCCTTTGGATAGAAGGAGTTCAAAGCTAGCCAAGGATGGACTCACGGTTTTAGAACCTGCAAAACTTCAACCTGCAAAACATGGAGACTATGAGTAAGGCTGTGTCTGGGGGAATAGGCAACAAATGCACCTAGCGTTATTAGAGTCACTGTAAAAGCACTGAGGTATCTGCTAGAGGAAAATGCCCAACTGTGTCTGTTTCCCAACCTTGGTTGAAAAGCAACTAATGACCTTTCATCTTCTTCCAAGCCCATTGGCAGTGTGTTCTACAATTCCCCTTCAGAAAAAGATTAAAAAATTATGTTTATGGGTGTCATATCCTTATGAGTATCATGGAAAGAGTAAAAACAAGCCTTCTGGAATGACAGCAAAGTTTTTGGTGGTAGTCAAGCAAGTGTGTGCACACACATAAAATTCACCAAGTAACACTGTGTGGGGGTATATCTCAACGGTAAAGCAATGTTTGCTTAGTATATGGGACTTCAATTTAATTTCCAGCATCCAAAAGGAAACAGTCACATATAATAGGACAACTTAGGGTAGCATAGATTACATCTAAACTTTAAAGATTATTTTGTTTTGCCCTGGGCACCTTTTAATCCCAGCACTTGGGAAGCAGAGGCAGGCAAATCTCTGAGTTCCAGGCCAGCCTGGTCTACAGAGTAAGTTCCAGGCTACAGAGAAAGCCTTTCTTGAAAAGGAAATATTTTATTTTACATATATATTTGTTTTTCGTGTATGTTTCTGTGCCACATTTGTGTAGAAGTCAGAAGAAAGCATTAACTCCCCTGGAACTGGAATTTATGGATGGCTGTGAGCTGTCATGTGGGTGCCGGATCCTGAACTGGGTCTCGAGCAGCCAGTGCTCTTAACTGCTGAGCCATCTAGGCAGGCCCACATCTGAATTTTAAAAAGTTAAAATTAGCCGTATGTGACTCATACCCCAATAATCCTAGCGCTTGAAGAGGAGCAGGAATTCAAGGCCAGCTCTTGGCTACATAGCCAGTTTTGTCCTAGAATGGACAACAAGACAGCATTTCAAACCCAAACAAACAAACACAAAATGTTAAAAACAGGACGGACACGGTGGTATACACCTTTAATTCCAACATTTAGGAGGTAGAGGCAGGCCAATCGAAGCCTAGGTAGTTCTAGGCCAGTCAAGAGTGAGCCTCTGTCCCGGGTAGGGGTGAGGGTGGGGTAGCGGGGGGGGGGTGGGGAGTTAAAATTACCTGTAGTATTATGGGATATTTGAAGTGTTATCAACAGACATTTGAGGAGGTCAACCTCCCCTATGATAATGCAGCTAGTGATCTAGTTTCACTCAAAACTAACCCTTGAAGCACATTCACTAAGTTGTCTTCGTTACTCAGGAAGCTGAGGCAAAAGGATGAATGGCTACCACTTCAGTAACATAGGAAACTCAAGGAACAAACAGCCGCTACGTCCTACGGAAAGGGAGCAGTAGGAGTTCAGGAAGGGTGCCTCTCCTCCAGGGGAGAACACGCTCCCCAGAGAACCCTGGGCGATGATGTCATCAAAGGGTTAATTCCAGCCGGGGACGCGGGGGAGGATGGGGGCGGGGCACACAGCTGTCAGGTGGCGTCGGAAAGGTTAGCTGCGGTGAGGAGCCTCGCGACGGGGAACAATCGAGTCTTGGGAGGGGACAAGAGGTTACCCGCCCACAGTGGGCTCCGCAAAACATGCGCGCCTGTCCACGACTGGCATCCCCACAGATTCTCCGCCTCGATTTCTTGCAGCCAGTGAGGTTCCCACGGGGCGAGGGGGCGTGGCGTGGCGGGCGTGGTCTGGGCGGTGACGAGAGGGTTAACCACCTACAGAGCCTGGGGTGGGCGGGGCGGGGGCGGGGCGGGGCGGGGCGCGGGCCGGCGTCCTGCGTCCTGTCTGGAGCCGGAAGCTGTCGCGGGTCAGGGGCGCGCCGAGCCTGCCCCTGTTCACCCGCGCTTTTGGCCCAGGTCCCTGCGGACTAGGGAGCCCAGCGAGGTGCGGGGGAGAGGGCGGGCGCCAGGCGCCGTCCGCCGTGGAGTCTAAGGGGCGAACTCGTGAGAAACTTAGGGGGCGCAGACCGGGTGAAAGCGGAGTGATGGCTCGGAAGGGTTGGGGGACCCGGGTGAAGGAAGGGCTGACGGGAGCGCTAGGGAAAGATGCTGCGCCTCACAGGCCTTTCTCCCCTCACCGCTCCAGGGGACGACCCGAAGTTCAGCTTTCAGAAGAGAGACTCCCCAGCAAGCCTGCTTCGAGGATCCCTTCAGCTGCTCACCTCATGGGCCAGACGGCCCTGGCAAGGGGCAGCAGCAGCACCCCCACCTCACAGGCTCTGTACTCTGACTTCTCCCCTCCCGAGGGCTTGGAGGAGCTCCTGTCTGCTCCCCCTCCTGACCTAGGGGCTCAACGGCGCCACGGCTGGAACCCCAAGGATTGCTCCGAGAACATCGACGTCAAGGAAGGGGGGCTGTGCTTTGAGCGGCGCCCTGTGGCCCAAAGCACTGATGGGGTCCGGGGAAAGAGGGGTTACTCGAGGGGCCTGCATGCCTGGGAGATCAGCTGGCCCCTGGAGCAGAGGGGCACACACGCCGTGGTGGGCGTGGCCACCGCCCTAGCCCCGCTCCAGGTTGACCACTATGCGGCGCTTTTGGGCAGCAACAGCGAGTCCTGGGGCTGGGATATTGGGCGGGGAAAATTGTATCATCAGAGTAAGGGCCTTGAGGCCCCCCAGTACCCAGCTGGACCTCAGGGTGAGCAGCTAGTGGTGCCAGAGAGACTGTTGGTGGTTCTCGACATGGAGGAGGGGACTCTGGGCTACTCTATTGGGGGCACCTACCTGGGACCAGCCTTCCGTGGACTGAAGGGCAGGACTCTCTATCCCTGTGTAAGCGCAGTTTGGGGCCAGTGCCAGGTCCGCATCCGCTACATGGGGCAAAGAAGAGGTGAGACCTGAACTAGGTGTGGGGAGAGAATTACTACTCTGGGCAATGGTTTGGGATGGAAACTCATGGTTGGACCACACGAAGGGGGCTTCATATAACTTTAGCTTGTCTCTTAGATGGCTTTGCTCCCAGGCCCTAACTGAATGTGTGATGCAGAAATTCAGAGCCTTAGATGTCCCTGAGCTGTGAGGCAGATAGAGGGATGACTAAGGGGCCCTGAACAGGAGTTTGAGGATGTCTGGCTGGAGTTGCGCCTCTACTGACCTTGCCTTCCTTCTCTCTCAGCCGAGGAGCCACAATCCCTTCTGCACCTGAGCCGCCTGTGTGTGCGCCATGCACTGGGAGATGCCCGGCTTGGCCAAATATCCACTCTGCCTTTGCCTCCTGCCATGAAGCGCTACCTGCTCTACAAATGACCCTATAGCACCAGCTCGTGTTGGCACCTGGCCATCATCAGTGCCGTGGGGACAGGTGGAGAGGCACCATTGGCCTAGACAAACAAAACCAGTGACGCTGAGTGGACAAGAGGCTGTGCCCCTTCACTAACCCGTATAGAGGGGTGAGACATGGGAGTGAAACTGAAGGCTGGCAGCCTGGCACAAAAGATGTTTTTCAAGTAAAAAATGAGTTGTACTGTCACAGCCTGTTTTGTGTCTGTTACACCTCCCCCTCCCCATAGAAGCGTATCACTATCTTAATGAAAGCGTGTAATGAAGATGACAAACTACAAAGTTTAGGGCCAGGTGTTTATTTCCCTTCCATGTAAGATGGTTCACAGACACAGTACTAGGGCTTGGGCACTGTGGGAGTGGGGCGCAGCCCTGGCCTCTTGGAGCAAGAGGGTGTTGGCCTTAACGTACACCGAGAAGGAGAAGGAAGGTGATTTTACTCTCCTGCCCTTGCTGGGTTGGGCCTGAAGGGACAGTCAGTTCCAGTCCTTCCACTCCCCCAGCCAGGAAGCCACTTGGTGAAATAGGTGACATTATTTCATTCATTGTAAGTGGTAAAGGGATCGGCCTGGGCCCAGCCACTATAAGGAGGAAGGTACAGTGTGGATTAGGACACAAGTTGGGGCAGATGGTATCGGAAGCATGTGACTGGTGGGAGCAGTTCTTAAGCTCCTGGGCAACCTAGTCCTGGTCTAGCGGAGGTTAGGGGAGTTGGCTGGTGCTCATTGTTTGGCATTGATGATGTCTACAAACTCAGGCTTGAGGGAGGCACCTCCCACGAGGAAGCCGTCCACATCAGGCTGGCTTGCCAGCTCTTTGCAGGTTGCTCCAGTCACAGAACCTGGAACAGAAACAGGAAGATGGTTTGGTCAGGGATAGGATTCGTCCACTTAAACCCAACCTCTCTGTGGGGCCTCAGTCCATCTTAGCCTACTTCCACCTTGGCCGGAGCCAAACCCACTCACCTCCGTAAATGATTCTGGTGCTTTGAGCCACCGCATCAGAGACATTGGTTTTCAGCCAACCCCGCAGCTTCTCATGTACTTCCTGGGCCTAGGAAGAGGAGGTATGAGGAGGCACACTAAGTAAGCCCTTTCCTGTTCATTTAAAGAGAAAAAACAACCCACTGGTGTTTGTATGGAGAGTTAAGTTTCTGGAAAAGTCCTGGGATCAGCATAGCAAGGTTCCAACCCCAGAAAGGCCTAAAATAAACATTCTTGGTGAGTGTGGGGCGGCACTGGGCTTCTGGGCAGTTAGTTACCTGCTGAGGTGTTGCAGTCTTGCCTGTACCTATGGCCCACACAGGTTCATAGGCCAGGACAACTTTGTCCCAGTCCTTCACATTATCTGCAGGATGGAGAGCAGGAAGAGAAGTGTGAAGAGGAAGAACGGCCCAGCCAAGATCTCCAGGGTGGGGCAGCAATGGCCTGCAGCCCCTGGGGGGCTTTTCCCCCACTCAGTTTTAAAAACAACTGTGAGTGTGTGTGTACACACGCCAAGCCACACATGGAGGCTAGAGAACAACTTCAGGAGTTGGTTCTCTCCTACCATGTGGGTTTGGGGGAATCAAACAGGCCCTCAGGCTTGGCAATACGCACCCTTACACACACACACACAGCCATGTCACTGACCCCTAGTGGCTTTTCCACCTTCTGCAGGAACAGAAGTGATAGACCATGCAAGTGGCCCTTTCTTTTCCTGGCTCAAGGTATCAGGCAGGCTGCAGGGTTTTTGACCTCCCTACCCTACCTCTGAGGCCCTCCCTAGGCTCAAAGGTCCCTTCCTCCTGAGATACCTGCGATGACCTTGGTTTGATCGAAAACAACCTTCTCGGTGATACCAGCTTCCCTTTCGTCCAGCTTCTCCCCAATGCAGGCGATCACTCCGAGGCCCTCGGCTAGGGCATGGGCCACTTTCTGTCCAATCAACTGGTGAAGAACAGATACAGTGAGCCATCCCTCTCGGATGAAAGCATCTCCTAACTCCCCTTCTGCCGCTTACTGACCTCATCCGACTCCCCGAAGACATGCCTTCTCTCGGAATGCCCGAGCACTACCCATTCGGCTCCCAAGTCTTTGATCATGCCAGGGCTAAAACAAACGGAAAAACACCAAGGTTCAGCAAGGGTCGGCAAGGAAGGTTCCCTCTGCACCCTCTCTGCCTCAGCCTCACCTGATCTCCCCAGTGAAGGCCCCATTGGTCACTTTGTAGCAGTTCTGCGCAGCCACGGCAATCTTGGGATCTAGCTTCTGCCTGGCAAAATCGATGTAGGCAGTGGGGGGTGCACAAACCACTTCTGAGAATGAGATCAAAGACAGCCTTCACTCTCCAGGCTTGCTGTCATGCCTTCACTTTCTCGGTTCTATTTTCCTCCGTTTTTCACTCCAGAAAGATGACCTTTGTGCAGTGCACAGCCCAGGCTGGGCCTGTACCAATCCCATCGCCTTCCTAAGGCTCATGACAGGCCATGGCCCTTACCCTGCCCTCTGCTCTTTTTAACAGCCGTGGCTCTAATTTCCTCAGGCTATTCTGGGAATAGGCCCCTCCTAGGCTCAGCATTCTCCGAGGGCCAACCCTTTCTAAAATAGCCCATCCCCACTTCTCCAACCCGGCAAGGATTTTTAGCTTCTGGAGAATGGGCCAGCTACTGGAGTTTGTATTGGGCTCTTTAGGAAAATAAACGACGATACCCTTTGGTTATCCTCCAGGTTCTCTGATTTAGGTGGGTAGGAGCAGGGAGGATGGAGGAGATATTATGGGTGAGCAGCAGGGGGAGTTGTCTAGCTCGCAGAGACCTCATGTTTTCCTATTTCCAGACGGAGGAGAGCAGTTGAATAGCTTTTTATTCCCAAACGGCTCAGCAGGTTTGGCACCTGCTTAGTCTCTAGGGTGGAAGGTAGGAGTGGCCCAGGCTGTGGAGGGGTAGGGATGTAGGAGCCCCCATCTCAGAGGCCGAAGCTAGCTACGGCGCGGGGAGGAGTTTCGGCCTACGTGCAGAGAGGCACGGATCTAGAGACCGAGGGGGCAGGTAATTCTGAGCCCGCGCAAGCTCAGCTCCCTCCCCCACACTCTGAGGGACACGTGCCACTTTTTTTTTCTTGATTATCCACCCGGACACTGGTTCCGCTTCTTAACCGTGGCTCCTGGTGATGCAGCTCGGATCCACTCCTAGGGGCGACCTTCCACCCAGCCCCCACCCCATGAAGCCCTTCCCTGCTCCACAGGCCCAGGGCACCATTTAAATGCCTTTCCATCTTAGCACATCTCTATGCTGCCCGGACACCAAATGGCCCTTGTCCCCAGGCCAGCATCCAGGTCCACTCGGAAAGAGAGTAGGTGCTGCCACGCCCGACCTCCCTCCCCCTGCCTCCGCCGCGGCCGCCGCTCCCAAATGGAGCTCACCGGTGTCTGCCGGCACCTTGGCCGCGTTCAGGATGCAAATGAGTTCTCCCAGGCACTTCTTCCTCCCGTTCATCTTCCAGTTGCCCCCTACGAAGAACTTCCTGGAAGGCGCCATTGCGGTGCGATTGACTGGCTGAAGGTCAGTGTGAGCGCACGGCCCCGGCCACTGGCCACTTATATAAAGTGCTGTGAAACAGAACTCCTCCTCTTCCCCGCCCTCCGCCATGGTTAGCCCGGCCCCTTACTGCTAGGCCTTCCCCCTCAGCCTATTCTGACGTTTCTCCTTTCTAGTAGCAACGTTCTAGTGGGTTCCGGGGGCTCTAACGTCCTGCCTTGTGGCTCAACAGTTGAGATGTTGAGTTCAGAAGATCAAAGGGCATTCCCCATGGTGCTGGCAGTAACTCGGCCCTAAACCAGTCTCATTGGGACTGAGAGCACCTTTCCAATTCTGAAGAGAGTCCCCTTTCCCCACAGCACAAGGCAAAGCAAAGCCATGGCTGAGTCCTTCCAGCAATCACAAGGGAAGGGGCCCAAGTGTTTCACAAACGTCGCTGGTCTCGGCCAAATGGAGCAAAGAGTGGGATACTGGTGTGCAGGAAGGGCAGGGGGACAGTTTGGTTGCTGTCTTGTAAAGCCGGTCATCTAGTTCCACACTGCCCACAGCCTGCTCTGGACCTCTCTATTATCTGCAACACTAGGGATAGACCATGTACATGGTCAGTAGAGGGGGAAGCAGCCACTTCCCCATCTCAGTTTTCTTAACACTTCTAGAACTAAAGACAGAATTGCAGGGGGGGGGGGAGTGGGCAGGGCAAAGGACCCCAAATGGGCCTCTGTGAACCTGTAGTGCCTCCCCCACCGCCACAGTAATTTTCCCCATGGAAAGTAAGTTTGCCCTAAAGAACTAAACAAAACCAGCCAGTCATTGTACTTTTATTCACATCGTGTATTTTGGCATTTTTCCAGAGGACCAAAGACACAGAATGGGAGGCTGAGGCAGAAGAACAAAGGGTGAGGGGTGTCCCTATTTCCCTCATATCCTCCTTCACCCAACCACAAGGGAGCAAACACATAAGGGGAGGGGAGGTACAGTGGCTTCCTCCCCTAGAAGGATGCTTAAAGCCACACCCACACACACAGATAAGACCCCACCCCATTCCAGGGGCTGGGTCATCACAGAGAAGCAGAGCACTGTGGATCCCAGGGGCAGGGAGAGGAGGCAACAAGGTCCCACTGTGGATAGGCAGTCGGCCCCTTCCTGTCCCATCCCTGCGCTATCCCCAAAGTCTACTGAGTACCCCTTCTTTTGCTTGGCCATTCTCCTATGGCCTCCAGCTCCTTCCAGCTGCTAGGGACAAAAAAAACGAAAAAGGGTACAGAGCAGGGGGCTAAGTCCATCCCTCAACCCGTCCCTCATGCCAGATGGTCTGTCCCCTGCCCACAAGTGGTAAGGTTGAGGGCAGGCTCTTAGCTGACCACTCTCTGGTAGAAGTAGATGTAGCCCAGGTCCTTGGGTGGCTTTTCGGAGGCACACACTTTCTGGTCATTGTAGATCACCCATCTGGGAAATGGGGAGGGGACAGAGAAGGATGACAACGTAGGCATTCCAAGTTGTACCATGTTCATCTCTCAGGTGCCCACCTGAGATCCCTGAGGTGTTTCTGGGGGAAGGGTGCCAACTTTCATTCTGTGCTGAGAACCTCAAATCTACAGTCCAGCTAGCAGTCTGCAAGGAACTCCAAAATCCCATAAGGGTCATTTCCCATTGATTGTTATTTAGAGACAGGATCCCAATAGCTCTGGCTGTCCTGCAATACTACGTAGACCAGGCTGGCCACAAACTTAAGGATCTACCTACTTCTGCCTCCATAATGCTGGGATTAAATATATGTACAACTATATCCAGCCAGCTCCCCCCCCACCCCCCAGACAGGGTCTCTGTGTGTAACAGCTCTCGACTGTCCTGGAACTCACTCTGTAGACCAGGCTGGCCTCGAACTCTAGAGATTGAACTGCCTCTGCCTCCTGGGTGGCGGAATTAAAGGTGTGCACCACCATGCACAGCCAGATTGTATTTTCAGTAATGACAATCATTTATTTTGCACTAACATGCACTTGAACCATGGTATACACAGAGGTCAGAGGGCAGTTTTCTGGTTCTCGGAATCTAACTCAGGCTGTCAGGATTGAGGTAGTGTCTTTATTCATTTAAGATCTTGTCAGCCTAAATTATATTTTTTTATAATCATCTTCTGCCCATTCCTGTGAAGTTGGAGGAACCAGAGAGACTGATGTTTTCTATCCTTTCCTTTTTCTTTTTTTAAAAAAGGATTTTTAAAGTGTGTGTGTGTGTGTGTGTGTGTGTGTGTGTGTGTGTGTGTGTCTCTCTCTTTGGGGTATATGCACATGAGTGAAGGTGCTCATGAAGGCCAGAAGAAGGTACCAGATCCCTGGAAGTAGAGTTACAGATATCTGGGTGCGGGGACTGAACCCAGGTCTCCTGCATGAGTAGCAACAGGCTATATATACCAACAGGCATCTGTGTAGCCCAGCCCCACCCACTTTGGGGAGAGTCTCATGTAACCCGGACTCACTTTAAAATCATTCACCATGTAGGTAAGGGCAAGCTTCAACTTCTAGTTCACCTGCCTCCACCTCCAATGCTAGCACTGCGGCCATGAGCCACCATACACAGCTACTGACCAGCATTTTCACTCAATAATTACAGTCTTTGCCACAATTATTTAACTGTACTGCTGCCACGGGTAATCCATAAACAAAGGAGATGACTCTAGACTAGTAGAACTTCATTTACAAAAGCAGACAGCCACATTCAGCCCTGGGATGTGGTGTGTTTATTCCTGCCAGAAGGCATTTTCTCCTGTCTTCTCCCAAAACATTCTAGGGACTTCCTGGTTGCCTTTCCTCATTCCCACCAGCACCCTTCACCCACAGTGCCTATCACTAGCCACTCACCTGCCTTCCTTCTTGATGTGGCAGACATAGTGACCGCACATAGTAGAAGTCCCCATGTGACTAATGAAGGCAAAGAGCTGATACTCTGGGGAGAAGAAAGATAAAGCAGAGAAACATGAGGTTCCCGTGTGAGAGTATTTAACAGCTCAAACTCAGGACAAGACTTTCAGGGAACATGGGGCAAAGGGTTTTTCAGCCCCTAGAATTCTACCCTCACAAGCCCCACCCGGGAGGCAAAGCTTCTGACCCCTCAGACAGGAGGGCACAATGCTAGAAGGAGGGGCCTAGTGCAGCAGATAGCCTCAGGTTTGCCCTGATGTTTGGGGACACTCACTTCCAGGACCATCCCGGACTTTAGGTCCCACCGGCACAGACTCAGAGATGGAGTCAGCAGCTGAGCGTCCCTCTGAGATGTCCATAGCAGCTTCTGCATCTAGGTCATCAATGTGACTGAAGATCCAGTCTACAGCCCGCTCTAAACTATTGTTCTGGGAGAGGAGGGGAGTGTTACTTTTTCTAACAAGGCAGGTAGGCACACCAACACCGTGGCTATCTCAACCACACAAGGGGCAGCCAGCTTCAGCCACACTACACTAAGCTTTGGTACCACTAACCAGCCCTTTTCCCCATGAACTCCAAGTCCTTAGCAGGGGCAGCCCATACCGTGGCCCGCAGAGCTTTCAGGGCCTGGTCCCTTGAGAAGCCCATGGAAACAATGGTGGTCACACAGTCCTCTGGGGGGGGATCAGCTGCTGCACTGGTAGAGCCAGGCCCACTGGAGCCAGGCAGGATGAGAGGATTTGCAAAATCTGTGGATGGGGAAGGAGTGAGTGTTTGGGGACGGAGGTGGAGGCCCTGCCCACCCTGCTACCCACCTCTGCCTACCTGGATCATCCATGTGCGACATGACCCAGTTCATGGCTGCTTCGGCCCCACTGTTCCCTGTATAGTAGACAGCTTTCCGGCAGGCATCCATAGGGAAGCCCATTTCCACCAACTGTATGATAACGGATTCATCCAACATGGGTGCTGTGGTAGAATGGTAGGCACTATGACATACTGCCACTGCTTCTATTTGTTTCTCTGTTCTCCCACGTGGCAAGCCTCTAGCCTTTTCTCAATTACCGATTACATGTTCTCCTCCATAGACAGGTATTTCATACCAGAACTAAAAATAACCATAAGCAAAATGTGGCTCTGGTATCCCAAAGGTGATCAATTTTCTGCCATTTATGGAGCAGGAATGATACCCCTTTCCCTCCCCAACCCAAACTAAGGAAGTAACAAAGACAGAGGTGATTAGTCAAGGCTACTGACATCCATATAAAGAATGCAGCTGGGAGTATTGTAGCCAGTGTTCACATCCAGGAAGGGCACAGAGGAAATCGGAAAGGCAGGACAGGAGAAACAAAGGATGGAGAGGGCCATGCAGAAAAGCCCTCCCCCATTAGTAAGGGAGAGACAGGCAGGAAGAAGAATCACTAACATGTCGGAGAGGAGAAGTGAGGGGAGCAGAAGGAGTCTTCGTCTTCGTTGCCATAGAAACCAAGGCTACCTTTGGGCTCATCCGGAGTGACCAGGGGTGGGGCAATGTCAGGCAGTTCCTCCTCTCCTGGCTGTAACCCTGCGCCCCTCAACTGGGAGATGTCTAGCTCCTCTGGCATCTCAATGGACACATCTGCAATGGGAAGGGTAGGAAAAGGGTCACTTCAGCAGCTCCTAATGCCCTCCTGCACAAGCACAGCAGACCTCAAGCTCCTGCCCCATGTTTTGGGACTGCTCTTACTAGTTCCAACCTTGGGACATATGTGGAAGTCCAGTAGTCAAGGGACCTATACTCTAGTCCTAAATCTACTACCATCTAAGCTACAGACAGGCCAGGGGCCTCTCACAGTCAGAGTGCCTTACACATCTGTAGATCTCAATTTCCTTATCTAGAAAACCAAGGTAAATCAGTAGTGTCAAGTGAGAGCCAAGGACCTGAAAGACCTACTTTAAGATGATCACAATAAAAAGTTATCAATTAGGAAAAAATTGACAATAAAATCAGTTGTAAATCATGACTATCAAAATGGTTTTAGTCAGACATCATGGCACATGCCTTTAACCCCAGCCCTTGAGAGGTGGAGGCAGGCAGATCTTTTATGAGTGTGGGACCAACCTAAATTACATAGCAAATTCCAGGCCAGCCAGAGCTACACAGTGAGACCCTGTCTCAAAAACAATAACAAAAAAAAAAAAAAAAAAAAAAACAAAACTCAAAAGTTTTCATCAGTCTTTTCA